CAACTGCTGACTGTATAGATGTTACCACTGAACATGCCCTTCTTCCTGTCAACGGTAGAGAACTTCCTGCAGGGGCCAACAAAGCAGATGGAGCTAGGTTAGATGTTAGTGCTAGGTTAGATGTTAGTGCTAGGAGTGTATGGAACCCATTGGAAAGGACATTTTTAGATGTAAGAGTATTGTATGCTCAAGCTCCTTCCAATATGGCTCTTGGATCTCCGATGAGTATGTACACTAGTCATGAGAGACACAAGAAAAACATGTATAACAAAAGGATCGTTGAAGTGGAACATGGAACATTTACACCAATAGTTCTATCAACAAGTTTAAAGCTGATAATATGTCTAGAAAATCAGATCAAAGATATAGTGAGGCGATGACTTTTATCAGGAAAAGAGTAAGATTTGACCTATTGAGAACAACAGTCATTGCTCTTAGAGGAGAAAGAGGGTTGAAAAGTGGTAGTGCAGTAAAAATAGACCTAGATATAAATTTAGAGCCAGTACATTGAATTGGCTACTTAAAAGTAGCCAATTCAATGTAGTAAAATTACTACAAAGGGTTTTTATAAAATTTACTCAGATTTTTATTGGCAATTAGGTACATTACACCACAGCCAAGACAATTGGTAACATGAACAGCTGCTTTGATTATTAGGAAAATTTCTTTAAGTATTATATTGGACCCAAGGTATTATCTGTGTTCAAATCGGACTTCAAATCTTTGCATACTGAACAGACCTATGAATGTAATTGATGTACATAGTAGACATTGTAGATTTTATAAATCATGATGTATCTTTATTTTGGAATTAGTGACTACCTCATCCATCAGCTTCAACTCATTTAAAATGCTGCTGCTAAAGCTATAGTAGGACTATATAAACATGATCATACTCTGAAAGACCTTCATTGGCTGCCTATCAGTTACAGAATTCAGTACAAATTATTACTTCTTGTTTATAAATGTCTTAATGGCATGGGACCCCGGACCAGATTATTTAAGTACAATGTTTAAATTTGCAAACTATACTCATCTTATCTATTTGACTGAACCTAGAGTGCATACACAATATGGAGAAAGATCTTTTCAGAAAGTTGGCCCTATATTATGGAATGAACTACCATTTGAAATTAAGAAGTGTACAACATTGGACTCTTTTAAAGTGTATCTCAAAACATTTCTTTTCAAACGTGCTCATAATATTGTATCTTAATATTTTTCAATCCTAGTTTTCCTTAATTGTTTCTACTGGAAAATGCAAACACATTATCGTTTATTTAGTGCATCAAGTCTAATTACCCTTACCTGGTTTAGAATATAAATGTGGGTTGCTTTTTCAGGTTTTATTGTGTCCTGAACTGTTTTCGTGGCACACCGTATAATATAAAAGTTAAAATTATTATTATTATTATCTTTCTCCTCTTGCCTGTAGGTCACTGTTTCCCACCTTGTTGGTGGTGTATATATCATTTTAGTGTGATAAATTTCAATACAACTTTCTATGATTTGTAAAAGTGATTTTTTACTTGGTAGATAATACAGGGTGGCCCATAAGTGACTACCCACACGCAACCTCTTAATAACTCACGAGTCACGTAATTCGTCTCCAAATTGCACCAAAATTTCAGAGATTATAGATATGGGTCAAACTTAGATTTCCTGAAAGTTTCGTAAGCCACGCCCAATTACAGTGGGCGTGGCGTGACACTCCCTCTTTTTCACTATTGTCTTCATAAAATGATAACGCTTTAAGCTAAGAATTTTTTCCATCGCCTAAAAAGGCAATAGATGGTTAGAAGTGGTAGGATTTGAGAATGGGTATAGTGGGTATAGGTTTTTCGTGGTGTCACAAAGCAAAACATGCATTAACCTCCGCAAACACGTGCTCCTTTACAAATTATCTTTTGATGGTCGCGCGCGCATTTTACAATGCTTTTATGTCAAGGTGTACTCTATACCAAGAATCGAGCTAATAAATCGTGTACGGCGCGCATGTATATCTCTTTTCGCTATTATACATTTTGATTCGCATTGATATTTGTCGTTTAAGCTTTCGTTAACTTCATGCGATACAAACTTCTCATTTTGTTGTGGGTGCTTGGTGCAACCCGATATTAGTAATCCGTTATGTTGTTGTATAAATTATGATGTTATGACTATCATGTTGAACATGATTGCCCATAGATTGATTCATTATATTTAGACGAAATGAACGATACATTTTATTATGATTCACATTGTATTAACTACCACAGATTTGATTGGGTGACATCTGTCCGACAGTCGAATTACCGGTTTCGGACAAGAGTCGCTGTCAGATAGGAGTCGTTTTTGGCGACATATGTCCAACTTTCGGATCACAATCGCAATTTCAAATCACGTTCGTATTTCACAAGCTCACGTGTAATCTTGTGACGTTGCTCCCACAGTCCTAATATAATGCTGATTTGATCCATTGAGATCTGATCCATCGATACGTGATTGACTATTTGAGGACAGGATCATGCTATACTAGCCGTACACTAACAAGCTGTAACAAGCTGCCAATCACATCACAGCCTACATTACACACAGGAGAGCGGTATGGAGATCAGTTATTTATATAACATTTAAACTATTGTCCAATTTTTGACATCAAATGAAAATAAACTATGGTAGAGTTCAGCTCAGGTCATATCTCAGTTCAGATCATGTCAATAATTGGAAAATGGAAATGTGTCTTATTGCAATTAGATCACGATTTCGGACAGATGTCTTTTTTTTTCTGGTAACATATTGAGTCGGACAAAAGTCGCTGTCGGACAGATGTCCTTTTAACTGCATCATGCATATCACCGCACAGGCTACACTACGGTGTCCGGTCGTTTAACTTTCGATTCAAATAATTGACAACGGCAATCCCTCCATTTTGTTCTCTGTAACGCCCCAAAGAAATTTGGTAATTTAACCAATATGAAACAATTGTTAATTGTAATTAATTACGTGGCGATGGAAATCTAGCGTCCGCTAACCGGCGCAATTCTTGTTTGTACACATTTGCACACATTTGGCTTGATAATTGCATAATTTGCACACATTTGGCTTGATAATTGAAAACTTTTCCCAAAGTTTCAAGTTCATTGGTTAAAGTATGGCTAAGTTATGACCATTTAAAAACTCATCGGATACGTGATCCGAGCACTCAGTCAGTGATCTCGTCACTTGGTTAATGGCCTGTTTGGCTCACATGCACCGCTTGATTGGTTGCAGCCTGCTTATGGGCCGGCCTATACAGCTGACAGCACCTAAAACGCTATCACACGAATTTATGGTGGTGTCACCATTTCAGGGCTTGTTAGCCCTGCTAGTCACAGGTTCCTTACAATCAATAAAAAGGAATGAACCATCCATTGAATCATCGAAAATGGTTCACTATCCTCCCTTTACTGCAGAACAACGATTGTTCGTCTACCTGAAGAAAGAAAATGGGGTGTTCTACCCTCAGATTAAACGACAATTTCAGATGAAATTCAACCGACCACCCCCTTGCCGGAAAAGCTGCTTTGACATTCATCACAAGATCAAGTTTACGTTTTCTGCACACGATCGGCGAAGAGTCGGCAGAAGACGAACTTCGAGGACTGTAGAAAACATCACGATGGTTGTTGGTGACGTGATGGACACACCTAAGATTGGCACCCGGAAACGAGCTCCTGCCTTAGACATCAACAGAACAACCCTTCAGCGAATCCTAAAGCAAGACCTTTCTAACCGGGCCTACCGAATCACAAAGAAACACAAACTTTTGGACCGTGATTTCCAATCGAGGATAGATTTCGCCACTTACTTACTTACTTGTACTTGATTAGGTCTCCTCAATCATTCGAGTGGCCTGCACCAATGAACTCCCGTTTGTGACGTATCATCTCCCTCCAAAGTTTGCGGTCACTAGCCATCTCGCTCGCTCCTTCTAGGTCTATGTCAGTGTTTCCTGTAAACGCTGCAGCATCTTCCAGCAAACATTTCCTCCAGTTCTTTCTTGGACGGCCCCTAGATCTTCTCCCATGGGCAGGGGTCCAGTTAAGCAGGTACTTAGGAAGCCTAGTGTCTGGCATTCTGGTGACATGGCCAAACCAACGCAGGCGGTTTGCTCCTATGTACGTCTCTACTGGATTTATCTTTGCACGCTCCAGCACTTCAGTGTTTCTAACCCGATCGAGCCATCTTATCCTAAGTATTCTCCTCAAGCAACGCTGATGGAACACCTCAAAGCGATGTAGCTGCTTTTTGGTTGTGTTCCAAACCTCAAGTTACCATATAACAATATTGTCAAAACCGCTGCCTTATAAATCCTGATCTTCGCCAACACTAAAAATTTGTTTTCCTTTCTAGCAAAGTCATCATCGGTATCCAATCAAAGCCTAATGAACCTCATTAATACACGCTAACGCCTTACTCTTGATCAGATTGGGTGACGAGATCACTAATTGAGTGCAAATATCACTGACTGAGTGCTCGGATCACATATCCGATGGATTTTAAAATGGTCATAACTCAGCCATATTTTTAACCAATGAACTTGAAACTTTTGGAAAAGTTTTCAATTACCAAGCCAAATGTGTGCAAAAAATTTTGAGTTCTTAGCTTAAAGCGTTCTCATTTTATGAAGACAATAGTGAAAAAGAGGGAGTGTCACGCCACGCCCACTGTAATTGGGCGTGGCTTACGAAACTTTCAGGAAATCTAAGTTTGACCCGTATCTATAATCTCTGAAATGTTGGTGCAATTTGGAGACGAATTACGTGAGTTATTAAGAGGTTGCGTGTGGGTAGTCACTTATGGGCCACCCTGTATGTTTATTAGATGATTTAGCTGTTTGTTGCTGAATATTTTCAGCTCACTCTTTATGACTTCTTTGATGTGGTTAGTCCATAGCATTTGTATCAGTTGCTTTCCATAGAGGTGGTATACAAGCACATAACTTCATTCATACTCATCTGAACCTAAATTATCTTGTGTTTCAGGATGGCTCAACATCGATGACTTAACCAGAAAACCTACCCCATCTTCTCAGCTAGCAGTGGTTCATTGAATTTACTATGATATGAACTTAAACTATTGTAACTGTTGTTATTTCTATACACCATGGCAGAGCTAGTAAATAGCAGAGTCTTAGACGAGTCGAAAATCGAAGATGACGATATGGTTGACATTGTCTTCAAACTAACTAACTTTGCTGATGAAACCAGCACTCCTGTTCGAAAAACACAGAAGATGAATCAATCTAATCTGCAATCTTCTGTGAGGACACCGGAGTCATCAACTGGTCAAAAGCGACAATTATCCTTAGATCAGAATGATCCGTCAAATCAGTCAGAATTTGTTAGAACTCGGGAGACTTCAAACCAAGTTTATCAACAGTCAAACCATAATACTACATCCCAAATTCAGAAAACAGTTCAAATTTCTACCACTAAAACAGTGACTTTATCGAAGGAATCATATTCAAATGTACAAAATGATTCTGGTCAATCTCATAGGCCACCACGAAAAAAGAAGACCAGGTCTAAATCAGATTTGGGCCTTTTTAATTTTAAGATGTTTAAGCAGCAAGGTAGTCAGGTAACCTCAGATGTTCGGCAGTCAGGAGATGGAACTGATAGGCCTGACCCACCTGTCAGCCAAGTCGAAGGAAAGGTTGAAACCGTTAACCCCAGAAAATGTTTTGTTCACTATGATTCCCAGAGTGTTCTTGCAGACTTCAGCGACGCCAGTATTTGCACTACATCCAATAACTTTGCCAATCTGAAGTCTGGGGCTGCAACTGCAAACATCGAAGACTGTATAGAATCTGATCCAGACAGTCTCTTGTTACAAACACCTAACTTCATCAATGAACTTTATGAAGAACCCAAAGTTAAAAGTTGTGGCGCAGGGAGCAGTACGTATTACAAAAACTGCCCCAAATATCAAGTGGTCATGTTCGAAGGGCCACCTGCTAATCGCCAATTTAATGGCCCAAGTAACCGGGATAAGCTCCTCGCTGGGATTAATCTTAGTGATTTCACGATAGATAGACGTTTCCTCAACTTTGAGCACATGGATCATGGGGCCAACTACTATCGGAGATTCTTCGCTGATCACGGTAATTATATTTCACACAGTATGTGCTATGTAAAAATTGTGTTTTTGTAGTCAGTCAACATGATATAAATCGGCTGTTTGCCAGTTGAGTAAAACATAGTGCTACTAGATATTGAGTAACAGGAAGTGTTATCCTAGCTGATCCTGCCAGTTGTTATCTAACATTGATATACATGTTGAACTAGCACTTTTACTCCTTCACCACAATGTATATTCAATAAACTACATGACCAACCTCTTGTTATATCAGAAAGTGAGCTCTGCTGGGTGACCCGGCCCCGGGCTATAAACATTGCCCTGCTCATGAAAAATATTTATCATGAAGTGACATCGGGAAGTACTTAAAACAGTTAATTGGTGTTAGATTTAAGATTGCATCATCGTGATTCGAGACGGGTGCCTGAGTTACAAAATCTGTACGGTGGAGGTTTACATGAATTTGAATCTAAAACCAAGTAAAGCTGCAGATCAGCTTTTAACAGTTTAGTTTAGATAAGAGGGCTTAAGTCTGGGTTTGAGCTGATAATTAAGCATGTCAGCAGTACACAGCTTATAACATCATAACAGCGTATTCCCTCCAGACTCATAGTCTTTTCAGACAGTCAATCCACACGTTGTTCCGAGAGTGCTGAGTATATATATAATAATGATATATTTTAAATTACAACAGTGAACAGCTCATAGTGTCAGCTGATGATGATCCAACCCTGGACCTGGTGCAGGTTCCCAGTGTTGTCACTCAAAATACAACAATCAATCATCTTTCAAGCTGTAGGATATTATATCCCAATAATTAGTTGTCTCCCATACAGATCATTTTGTTTCATGATTGCTCCCTCGTGTGTGGCTCCGTTATAAGGTTTCTCATCTGGCGACCTGCACTATGTGTAAAATAACGTGGAGCTCCCGCAGAACCAGCTTTTGTTATTAGATCCATATATTATGTAGGACCGGGATATGTCAGTCTAATTGGGGAGGTCTGGTCTTTAACCCCTGGGTACAGTCCGGCTGGTTCAAAAACACTCATTGTCACGTAGATTTACAGGACGCAAATCGTTAAAATGGCCCTTTTTAACTCCAATTACTGTCCATTCTTCAACATTTATTGTCCTCATTTTATCTATAATGCTATTTATTTTTCAGATCACGTGAACTATTTTGGGATATCGGAGCCTCATGGGCCGCTGGCCATATCAATGCAGCGGGAGAAAACAGACTCAGCAGCTGAAAGAGGGGAAGCTAACTATCAGTACAGAATTATTATTAGATCAGTTCAGGTATGTGGTTGGAGGTGTACGTGTGGTCAGGGTATTTTCTTTTGCTTACTGAATTAGTACTACCATACTGACCAAATAACCACAATTCATAAACCCAACTATCAACATGTTAGTTTGACTACATTTTGGTCTTCAACTTGAAAACTAACCCTTACCTAATTTCTCAGTCCCCAACCTTGCGTGGCAGTATCCTAGAAGATTTCCTGCCTTGCTCCCGTGGAAGCAACAAAGTCCACTTTCGGGACATACTGGAATGCCTGACCCCTCAAATAAAACAAGAAAACCTCAAATTAGCCGAGAATAAAGTCGCGGTATGTTTGTTTTTATCACGTTCACAAAGCTGTTTTAGGAATTACAGCAGCTGTTTACGATATTTAAAGTTGTAACTGTTAGATATGTAAAGTAATTATTGTAATTAATTAATCAATTAATCTAATTGTGACAAGTGTCCTGTTGAAACTGTTTAGGACAAGTGTCCTGCTGAAACTGTTGAGCAGCTCCTCACATCTCACCCCGCCCTGCTGGGTTACAACACGCCAACGTACGTAACGTACGTGGAGCGTATTTTAACACAGCAACGCGATACCTTTCATCACCATCCCACTTGTACTGATCGCCCCTTGCAACCCCACGCTCTGTCACTTCATTACAAGATCTGGGCTCTCATTGGTTGTGTCGTGTCACGTGGTACAAATTAGAGCTTCTGATTGGTTGGTCTGTCACACGTGGTTTTCGGTTCGGCATTTGGTTGGTTTGCGTTAGAGGGACTCATGGTGTTGTGTATTATTATGCAGTGTACAATGCACCAATGACCTGGTAAACATCTTGTATACGCGGGTTATATCGAAAATTGCAAATCCAATTTGTGTTTCATCTGACAACATCCTATTTCAGGTGGTGGACGAACTTTTGAAATTCGATGAAATAACGGTGAGTTTATAATTTAAGAATGGTTTCAGAGAATTTATCAATTTGAATAGTATCTTATTTCTTTCTTTGGTGTTTAGTTCTTACCTAGTATACAAGTACATTTCTGGGATGTTTAGATGTAAAAACACTGCTGAGTACAAGTTTTATCTTAATAGTGGTGTTATGAAATTCAATTTATTATTATTATATCTCGGATTCAGCGTTTAATTTATTTTTATGCGTTAATCAGTTAATCATATTATGACAATCACGCGTTCTGAGTTAAACTATAAATCTCTCCCTTCAGATGAACGTAACGTACAAGATAGGACTGGTATACTGTAAAGCTGGTCAGAAAACTGAAGAGGAAATGTACAATAACGGTAAGTTACATTCCCAACACTCAACAGTTGCTACTAGTAACCAGTAATAATAATAAGAAGTAACCAGTGGAAATTTGTAGTTACCTGTGGTAACATTTTATAATATGCTCATTTTGATATTATCGACTGGGATTGTGTGCCATCCTTGTGAGAGAACGGGTTAGATCATCCATAATAATTGTTTAGAGAAATCCTCTAATCGTTATATTCCAGACGGGTGATGATTGCTGAAAATGATGCCACTATATAATACACAAATATACAAATATAGAAAAAATAGGGCATTTCTGATGAGCTGAGGTAGGCAAGCTCATTGTCAAGTATTGGCTCCCTACTTACTTGTCCCTGGCTCCCTGCCAACTACTAAACCTTCCTCTTACACCCCTCCTGTATAATGACACATACTGTAAAGATATACAATATACTCAACGTTAAATTTTGTGCTCAGAGCTGATCCTGGAGTGTACCAGCTGTAGTGAGGAAGGAACATTATATTTATATAATATTATTAATAACATGACAGCGACTAATGTGGGACATTGTTTTTTAATTTTCTTTCTACCCTTGTAATATGGGAGAAGTTGACATTTCGCTGTAAAGAGGACAAATGTTTACAACCAACGGTCAAGTTAATTTTATATCATGTTACGTTGAGTTATGATATGTCATGAATGCTGTATGCCCTTTTTTTTGGAGAAGTCTGATATGTACCTCGCAGAAAGTAGTTCTGGATTAGTTCTGGATTTGAATTAATTTGATCGGTTTCTCAAAGAAATGATATACATTTTCTTAAAAACGATAAATATAAAGATATAAATAAAGAACAATACTGCCAAACAAACATCTGAGTCTAGGGATGAAGAAATTTGTTAAAAACCATCTTCTTTAACAATTTTGCATACAAATCAAACCTAAAGTTCAGAAATCTACAGGGTCTGCTTGGTTTACGGTTCAATAACTAGGGTCGATGTTATAATTATTAGAACTGCCAAATTACTCTTGTTCCCCGAATGAAAACTTGGATTTTGCTGGAGGTTTATAGCCTGGTTGATAGCCTGAAGGCTTGCGTCCTTTTATTGAGTTCAGGTGATCAGACCAGGAGTTAGAGACTGGCTTCTTAACTGAAATAATGTTATAATGAACCTTTTCTTTGTGAGCTTTATTAACTAGTAATTACCGTAACTAATTAGTAATTAATGCAGTTTATCTCTTATTTAAATTAATTTTTAGAAAAAAAAAACATTTATCTGAGCTTCATATCATTATCAATGATGAGGAACTTCTTGAAGTTAAATATTTTCCTAGATCTTAAAGTCAAGTATTGATAACCTGTACAGAGATGAGTGTTGCATATTCTAAACTGATACCCCGATCCTTCACATCTCCTGGAGGGGTTCAGACACGCCCTCCTCCGAGACTGTGTCCCACTCCCACACTGCCGTGTACACCCCGACCAAGACCCATAACTCCCCCACTGACGCTCTGAGGGAACACGCTGACCAGACTGTCTTATTGCATCGAGATAAGACGATCCCGACGATTTGCAAGGATTCGTGTTGCAGCGTTCATTTTGAGACGAAGCTCCAATGCAGCCTTTTCCCCCATAAGCCGGGCTAGGATTATTGCAGCTTCTGATTTTGGTCTGGGTCCCCCCACCACATGTCTTTGTACATTTGGACCAACTACCAAATCCACTCCACCCTCCGTTTCTTGGACAAGGCTGCGTATTGCAGAGCTGTGTGTATTTATAACTTCCAACACAATATCTCCCACCATAACCGGGATAAGGATTCGAACAGGACCTTCTTCTCGTCTGTATTCCTCTGCCACAAACCTTTGAGCATTTAGACCAACTCCCGAATCCACCCCAACCTCCATTTCTTGGGCAAGCTTGCACATTACAGGCTTGTGTATTCGTAGCACTTCCGACACAATATGTTCCTCCACTAGCTGGTGAAGGGTTTGAACATGACCTTCTTCCGATCTGTATACCTCTGCCACAGGTTTTTGAGCATCTAGACCAACTCCCAAAGTCAGACCAGGCTCCATCTCGGGGACATGGATTGTTATTACATACCTGACTTTCTGAGCCAGTTCCAGGACATTTTATGCCTCCATAAGCTGGGATAGGGTTTGCGCAGTTTCTAGTTCTGATTTTGGCTCCTCCACCACATTCTTTTGAGCATGCAGACCAACTTTCAAATCCACTCCAGCCTCCATTTAATGGACAAGGATTGGTGTTGCAATCTTGAGTTTGAATAGAATCTCCAGTACAGTCTTTTCCTCCGAAGGCCGGGGTAGGATTGGAGCAGTTCCTGGATCTTGTCTGATTTCCTCCACCACAAGTCTTCGAACATCTCGACCAAATCCCAAATGTAGACCAATCTCCATTCACTTGACAAGGCTTGCTGTTGCATATTTGTGATTGCAATATGGGTCCCGGACATTGCTTTCCACCATGATCAGGAGCAGGATTTGTACAAGTTCTATTCCTGATCTGTTTCCCTTCTCCGCATGGTTTTGAACATATGGACCAACTCCCAAATTCAGCCCATTCGCCATCGATCGAGCAAGGTCTGTTGTTGCAAGTTTTGATTTGTGTAGCAGTTCCGACGCAGTTTCTTCCCTTATATGCCGGTATCGGATTTGTACAAGTTCTTGATCTGTTCTGAGATCCTCCTCCACATGACTCTGAACAGTTGAACCAACTTCCAAACTCCGACCAGCCCCCATCAACTGGGCACGGGTTGCTATTACATGGTTGGTTTTCTGAACTGGATCCAAAACAGTGTTCACCCCCATAAGCTGGGATAGGGTTTGTGCAGTTTCTAGTTCTGATTTGGGCTCCTCCACCACATTCTTTTGAGCATGCAGACCAACTTTCAAATCCACTCCAGCCTCCATTTAATGGACAAGGATTGGTGTTGCAATCTTGAATTTGAATAGAATCTCCAGTACAGTCTTTTCCTCCGAAGGCCGGGGTAGGATTGGAGCAGTTCCTGGATCTTGTCTGATTTCCTCCACCACAAGTCTTCGAACATCTCGACCAAATCCCAAATGTAGACCATTCTCCATTCACTGGACAAGGCTTGCTGTTGCAGATTTGTGATTGTAATATGGGTCCCGGACATTGCTTTCCACCATGATCAGGAGCAGGATTTGTACAAGTTCTATTCCTGATCTGTTTCCCTTCTCCGCATGGTTTTGAACATATGGACCAACTCCCAAATTCAGCCCATTCGCCATCGATCGAGCAAGGTCTGTTGTTGCAAGTTTTGATTTGTGTAGCAGTTCCGACGCAGTTTCTTCCCTTATGTGCCGGTATCGGATTTGTACAAGTTCTTGATCTGTTCTGAGATCCTCCTCCACATGACTCTGAACAGTTGAACCAACTTCCAAACTCCGACCAGCCCCCATCAACTGGGCACGGGTTGCTATTACATGGTTGGTTTTCTGAACTGGATCCAAAACAGTGTTCACCCCCATAAGCCGGGATAGGGTTTGTGCAGTTTCTAGTTCTAATTTGTTTTCCTACATCACATTCTTTTGAGCATGCAGACCAACTTCCAAAGCCACTCCAGCCTCCATTTAATGAACATGGAGTGGTTTTACAGTCCTGAGTTTGTGAATCATGTCCAACGCAGTTTCTTCCGCCGAAAGCTGGTATCGGATTTGTACAAGTCCTGTTTCTGGTCTTAGTTCCTCCGCCGCATGTATCCGAACAGGAAGACCAACTTCCAAATCCAGACCATTCTCCATTTACCGGACGGATTTCAAACTCGAAGTTTCTGGCTATAGATAATTTCGGCGCTCGGTTTTTCTTCATGCGGTTTTTGTTCGTGCAGTTTTTCTTAGTAGCTTTTTTATTCACGAAACCTTTTTCGTCGGAACCTGATTAGATTTTAGAGATAAGTTATTTCAATTTTTGACTTTTGATAGTTAGATTCTTATTTGAAACCGTTTGAACTTGAATTTACTGGTCATTATGTTTTGGCCTACCTTTCGGACAAGAAAATTTGCATTTTCTTAATCGTGATTCCATTTTCTTGCAACTTCTTTTTGGAACTTTGCTCTTCTGTATTGAATTGGAACTGCACCCTAACTTGGATTTATAACCTGAGTTGATTTATTATGAATCAAGTGATGGGAGCAGTATATATATATATATAGAACAGTAATGGAGTTGATCATCTTCAATATTTCGAGCTTTGCATCTAGAATTGAAACAGATTCTACATGTACACAGTACACACGCTTATTCAAGCCCCCGGCTAGGCCCAGATATTGAATCCATTTAAATACACAAACCTTTTTCAACACATTTCTCATAAAAAGTCTGAACTGTGACAGTCACCTTTCTCTGGCTGCACGACCTTCTTCCAGAAGAAACTGTTGCAACAAAAACACCAAAACACGCCAGCATCAGATACAATTTAACTCGATCTATCTCAGATGTCATCGTAGAACCAAATTAGAAAAATTCCCGGCCGGCCCGTTTTACCGGTGTAGATTTTTCAAGGTGTTAGATACAACTCAAACAAGTTACTTTTTAGTTTGGTACTTTTAGCAATATAAAGACGAGACAAAGTTTTTAATCTAGACGGTGGGCGTGTACTAGAGTGGTTGTAAACCTAGTATAAATTATGATAATGACACGTTTCTCGAGTGGCTAAACGGTCCGTATAAGTTAGACAGAAACTCAACAAAGAAACTAAGCTGCATTGATTCTGTCTAATGAGGTATCACGCCCTATCATTATTCAGAAAATGAACGTTTATTTAAGAGTAAACATTACAATTTACATCGTCACAATAGGACCCATCTACTACGTACTAATGATCTTGAATTTAAATTATCTAGACATCATGGTTTAGTTCTAGACTAATAGCAGGTCTCTCTGAACAGTAATAATTTAATAATGTAGTTCACTATCAATGACTATGCCACTGGTGGTAAATACCACACCTCTGCAGCGAACAGCAGACTTATTACAGCAGGACTGTTGCACTAGAGTCCCGTATCCTACATAACAGATGTCACACCCTGCAGGACCCAACCTCATGTTGTTTCTTTTGTGTGCTTTTACTTTCAGATGAGCTCACGGGGATAAAAATAGATCAATATTTCGCTTTTTCCTTTGAGCACCTTGACACTTATATTAAGATGTTTTACGTCACGATATGAACATATTGTTATATTTTTTATATTTGTTACGACTCAAACTCAGAATACATTCACTTTTAGTTCCAGTTACTTCAATTTACTTTTTATTATAATTCAGGAAGCTTAAGCAAATTGCATTATTTTTGACCTATGATTTCATTGTCCCAATATACCAAAACCATAACATCACTTATAGCAATTGTAACTAAGTTAGTGCACTTGTCCGATCAAAGTGATACAGTAACCCGGCTGACTATAGGTAAAGAGTGTGTAAATGTCAGTAGATAATCCTGGAGATCAGCTGATTATCTAAGATAAACTTAGCTGTCACTTCTCCAGAACCTTCTGGAACCTTCTGGCACTTCGCCAGAACATGCCCGGACATGTTACACTGCCCTGCATGTGGTCTGTGTTACATGATGCGTGACATTGTATTGTGCGGCGGGAATATAAAACATAGTTTTAAAACTTTTAACACTACTGGATTTGACAGGCAATTACGTTTTGTCACATATCCTTTTTGACAGTTAGACCAAGATATACCCGATATAATATCACAATCGAACCACTGTCAGCATTCCTGACAAAATATCCACTATTCAAATATAATATCCTCTGTTCGCACATATTGTATAATATTGTGATCACCTCCACCTGAATACCCTAAATTGTTCCCAACAGAAAGCACACATTCCAGCGTGTGCTTTGTGAACTGTAATGAAGTGATAATGTAGACATGTGTAAAATGATACCTCTCCTTGCGTTCTCTCTTCGCGTGTATTATGTAGGGGGGAAGCTAAGGAGGTATTTTGTGAAATGCCTTAATGGATGCTATTAATGGATTTTGGAAATCCCACATAATAGAGTCCCACATAATACCATAAAATACCACAAAATAACCCAAAATTATTTTAAATATTCATGGTGGTCGACAGTTCGATGTAATGTCCGCTCCCGGAAAATATATATTTCTAAATTCTTTGTAGGTGGAATTTGGCGTCTGGGTCGTGATTTCAGTTCTTTCATCTAGCAGAGTAAAATGACTGATGATTGAATGAGATTGTTCATTAAAATAGTTCGAAATCTAGAGTCTAACTCTAAGAATATTCAAGTTGTATGATCTAAAAAAGGCCCCAGCGGCGGAAAATAAAATAAACTCGGTACTTAGTATAGAAATATTTTATCCTAATCATTGCGCAGGTTGTATTCTTATAAACGGGTTACGTGAACGCTAATTCTTTGTGTAAACGTCAAACGAATACCGAATACATAAACACATTATCGTAGTTTTACATGAAGAGGGGATATCAACTTCAAGACTACTGTAAGTGGCATTATATAACTATCTAATAACGTTATAGTATATACTAGCTACTATATTATATATTCTAGTTTGTCACGTACACTTACTGACTACTGTATCGTGTGCACTAACCTCTGAACTATTAGTCCTTGGATTTTCTTGTGACGTGAAACTTTGAGTAATTATATTTTGAAATCAGACTTTGGACTCTATCTATGACTATGTTCTGAAAAACAGGATATGAGCCTGGTTTATTCATTCATGTAATTTGTCTGTTGAAAGGCCCTTAATAGTAGATGCCGACCCTAGCAAGGGTTGAACGAAAACTGGAACATTTTATGATATGTTTTCGAGCATGTTCAAAGTCGAGATGTCCGAACGTAACTTCATTGCAGGATCTCAATTGCTGTAAACTGTCCGCCGAGAAAACAGCTGGCCGCTAAAATTTTATCTTAGTTAGCTTAAACTTAAACTCCCTGACTGTAGTTGATAATCACAGTAAATTTGTAAATTCTAAACACCCACCTTTCTGGCACACATTGCTCGGAAACTGATTAAAAAACTTTCTGCGTGGAGAGTCCAGAGTCCAGTTGATTCTATATACACTTTATCAATGAGGTAATTCTTAATAATATTCAAGATAGGTTTCGTCATTTTTAAAGTAGATTTTTGAGTAAATGTTCAAATATTATAAAGACCACCAAAGTAGGTAAATTTTAGTCCCTGTCAAGATCGGTTTCGTCATGCATCGCATCGGCTGTAATGAAATATCAAAATATTATAAACCCCACCAAAGTAGATGATTTTCACTGCCAGCCTGTCATTTTTGGAGCAAGCATTTAAATTCCATCGCAGCATCTGTTCTGCAACAGACTATTGCAGTAATTCATCACTTGTTTTACGACAGTTAATAGCCGACTTATACCGGGTATAATGATGGGTGAAGTCAGTACCATTGGGTGCTATATTGCTTCCCTGGTAAGGTCATAGATTAGAATTATCGGTGAACAATCATTACCATTATTGTGTAACGTATAAGATGTACAGTACGGGTGTTGGCCGTTTTTGTCTGTGCTATAATATACTATAGATATAGTCTAATAAATATTGGAGTTCTACTGAATTAAATCTTACTCCTCCTTTGTGTTAATAAGTAGATAGTTCATTCTGACACGTGACAGCAAACCTGGGATTTGATTAGTCAGCCCTACAAGCTGATTGGTTAATTCTGGTCACGTGTCATAACAAATTCACCCTCCCCTCTACTACCCACGTCTATACTATCCCTGACATATTATACCCATTGTTCCTTGTGTCGCTATAGCGCTATAAAGGGTACCATACAACGCTCTCTTTCTAACACTACACTCCTACAGTATATATAATAATTCCACCATACTCCCTGCACTTTGTACCTGTCATAAAGTGACGCACATAATATCTTGTATCTCTCTACCCGGTATAATAATTAAATACCATCCCTCCCTGAACTCCCTGAACTCCCAAACTCTTAAGTCTCACTTTTAAACTCCACTTTATCCCCCGCAATTTCAGGTTAAGTTATAGTTTCAGTGTCACTTTACAACATGACGCACACAAGCTCTCCCTCACTAAGTGCTACTCTAGTGACGTTTCCCACTTTATTTAACATAGAAGGGGAGAGGGAGATGTAATATGGTCAAAACCAGCTAAAAATAGTCGCTAGATGTACCCCCCTCGTTTGTGAGAGCGTGAGGCTCGCTTAACACGTAGGAAGAGCCATCAGTTGATTTTCAACCCGATCTGTTGAGAGGTTTGTCACCACTTTAAGTAACACAATAATACGTAGCAATAATACCTACTACTTGCACTCTCCTCGCACTCTCTTTCTCTCTAAGTTCAAACAATATGTTACTATGTACCTCTCTGCGGATCATCTTCCCACCAAAATATATATATAATATTATGTATTTGATGTGCCCGGATGTGCCGTGATCTTGCCATCAAAATATATATGCTGACCTATCCGGACTAGACTTAGACTTTTGAGCGCTAATTTACATTGTCCGGAAACAGTTCCGGGACTTGGACTTAAGGTGGATAGGTAATACTAATAAGTAATAAGTACGTGTTTTGACCAACTGTATCGTGTCTAAACGCAGGCACTAAACGTGTGTTAGTGCCAAGAATAACGGAACCTCTAACTTCATTGAAGTTACCCGCCTGCGGGCTGAGTTACCTGTTTACAAACAAGTGTGATAATTATCTCGTAATGGCATGATGTCATGTGGCCATATAACATCCTTCAAAGGATATAACCCTAGCTCTAAAATGTGATGTGCTCCTAAACACGGTAAACACGGTAGTAAACTATACTGTCAATTACTTGGACCAATATTACAAACACACGTGTGATTATCTCGTAACCACCTCGTAATTACGTAATTATCTCCTAATGGTAAGATACTATGATGTCATGATCATGTTGGGGCATGGTGTGTGTGTGACCAAGTGTTTACAAGTTTCAGCTTACTCACCCACTGTTACAGCTGAATGCCACTTTTAATCTCAAAGGTGTTTGTCTGTAATGTTTCACAACACAGAGCGAGAGAGCTCATTTATCGGGGTCTAAGGTATTTGTTGGACCCAGATTCGCGGTAAAATTTGAAATCGGAATCCTAAACATCCTAAACATGCTGTGAATTCTAAATATGCTGTGTTGATATTACCGAGAGAGTATGAGGCCATGTTTTGGTGCTGCTCGTGAGGCAGGGTGTTGAACTGTAAGATAACACTAACAACTGATAAGGTAACATTATGTTTAATGAATCTCAGCTGATAAGGGAATATTATGTTGATATGTACAAAGTGTTAGTACCGTGATCCTGGAGGCTAGTTGGAGGTTTACCGCACTGTACGTGACGTAGTCTGGTGTGTAAATACCAGCCAAGTACCGGTGTAAATACCAGACGAGTACCTGGTACCTGTACTAGCTATTCATGTGTTGTACATGTCACGTGGTGTTATTTAGTTGTGGTATTGATCGTTTTTAAGAGAA